CAAAAGAAATGTAGTCATTTGTGGATTCCCTTAGTAACCTTCAAGTTTAGCTGTCGGAGTGCTGTCAGCAGTGCCTGCCCTTCGCCGTGCCCGGATCGCGCCTCCAAGCGTGCCTTTCTTAAACCCTCCCTCCAGAACACGATGCCAGCATCCATCTAAACAGCAGACAGGCTTCACCACCCCTTCTCCAGACCCTTAGAGTTCCAGCGAGCGCCTCCCCACTGATAAAGACATAGGCCTCTGCTCTCCTCCTCTCTCACCTTCTCGCCCCCACCCTCGGTATTCCTACAAGAAGGCCTCTGACCGTCCTCCGCTTGGGCCTCTCTGCCCACGAAACAGCGTCCCTTGCCGGTACGTCCTCTGCCCAACTCCCATTCATCCTTCAGTACCCTCCTCGGACGCTCTTCCCAACCGCACGCCCCGCCGCGCACACAAACTGATCTTGCCCCCCTCCTTTTGTACAACTCTGGTCACACTGGCACCCTGGGCTGTGACCACTGTCCCGGACGGCTGAGGGCCGTGCCCGGTTCCGACATTGACTGAGGGATTTCACCCTTTTCCACCCGTACCCGCCGCCACGACCTCCATCCCGGCCTCCATCCGCGGCCAGCGGCCGTACCCTCTTCCACCCTGGCCACTCACCTGCGCTCCGCTGTACCTGCTGCCGTCTCCTCCCGAGCTTCGCTAGGCTCAGCCGCTCAGGCGGTTCCTCCCGCCGTTATTGGCTTGCGAGGGCCCCCGCCCCGCCTTCCAGGTGCTGTGGTTGGTCTGCGCAGCTGCCGGCATCGTGTGACTCGCGCGAATGGAGCACTGGTGCCGCGGCCATTGGCTGAGCGGATGGAGTGAGGATCGTGAGAGCTGGGCGTCAGACCAGTAGCGGCGCCGCGGAGCCTGGGGGCGGGAGCGCACAGCCAGGTAGGTGGGGCGGAGGTGAGACAGTGAGGGGTCGCGTATCAACCTCGGACCCGCTCCCAGGCGCTTGAGCGGTCGAGGGGGCAGCGATTCTGCGGGCTGTGAAGTGTTTTCGCCGCGCTGGGTTCACAGGTCGCAGCTTTCGCCGGTGCACCCCGAGTTTAGACCACCTCTTTCTCTTCCCCAGCGCCACTTGATAACTCCCACGTTTACGTTTACGTTTACGTGGGAGATGGGGATCTTCAAATGCAGCGCCATTCCTGTTTGCGGACGGGAAGCCGAGGGTCCGGGAGGTTTAGGAGAGACTGGACGCGGCAGTTGGCCCTGCCCGCGGGGTGACCGCCGCCGCGGACCCGCACGGGGCTCACACTTGCAGCCAGGCTTGACCGCCTTCCGACCCTGCAGGGTGCAGGAGTGTGCACGGATGGGGGTCATCCACGAATTTAAGCTTTCGCTTAAGAGAGCCTTTTAAAACTTGCACAAGGGCAACACGCGGTCTAGTTGAAGTCACTTTCTATGCAGGACTTTGTACAAACGGGATAATGTCGCTTCTCATGGCTGTGATCGGACTGGCTGTCCTGCCTGAAATAAGGGGTCAGGTACCATCTGCTTTAGGAAGCCCCTTCTTGAGGGATGTGTCTCTTGTTAGGTCCAGTGACCTCTACCCATTCATCTAACTGTCCCATGTGTTTGACACCCACGTTCTTTGTAAAGTATCATGACAGAAAAATCACATCAAATGAAAAGAAACGGGATCTGTCCCTTGAGTGTTCAGAGCCCTGTCTTTAGGAGGTCTATGGTGTCCTGGGGTGGATGCTGTGCTGCACCACCTAGGTCCCCCCTTCAGGACTAAAGCAGGTCTTCAGCTACTGAATGTTGGCAAAAAGAGCCACTTTCCCATGGCAAAAGTCCCTTTCCAGGGGGCAGCCTGAGTCCAGTGACTGGTTGATGCAGGAGTGCATCCCAGCCCCTCACGCCAATTTAGGATTCCTTTGATTGGCCGGCCTAGCTCTAGGCGCCCCCCTAGAGGTTGTGGGTGTGACTGCACCGCAGCCCAAGTTTCCCTTTGCCCAAACGTGCCGCCTTCTGTCAAGGAGTGTTAAGAGCATGCGCTATGGGGTCAGACCTACCAGGTTGTCACTCATTAGCAGTGTGCTCTTAGATAACTTATTTCTCAAAATTTTATCTAGTACTTCTGTAAAATGGGTATTATAATAATGTTTGTTATGACAATAAATGTGATTATGTATGCAAAGCCCTTTGCACAGTATCTGAAATACAGGAAGTGCTCAGTAATACTATGTTTGTTATTATCTGACTTAAAATCCTACCACAGTAGCGATATATATTTTTTATATCGGAGCAGATGTATGTATGTGAAGGGGTCAAATTATTATTTTAAATCTTGGAGATTCAGAGCTGAAAGGAAATACAGAGATGGCTCCAAAATTACAGAAATAAGCTCAACTCACTTATTTCCTTACAATGAAGAAATGGGAGGTTCAGAGAACTGCAACAGTAGTGATAATTTATTGAGGGTCTTCTGTATGTCAAACCCACTAATATACACCATTTCTTTCAAACTCCACAATAACCTTGTAAGTGACATAGACACTACTGTTGCCATTTTAGAGAAGACAAAATGTCAGAGGTTAAGAAATGTGTTTAAAGTGGTGACAGCTAGCAACTGACAGAGGGGCATGCAAACTGACAGCCATCTGATTCCTATGCCCATGGGCTCTACAATACATCACACACTGCTTTTTTCCTTAGAATCGTGAAGCCAGGGTTAAAATGCCAGAAACTTGATTCAAAGTGTGATTCAACTTTCCCATGTAGCCTCCTCTCCAAAATGAGACACGGCGGCCGTAAAAGCCAGTAGGACACAATTTGCTCAAGACCAAACTGAAACAAGAGGCAGGCTAATCCAGGGGTCCCCAACCCCCGGGCCAGTACTGGTCCGTGGCCTGTTAGGAACCGGGCTGCACAGCAGGAGGTGAGCAGCCCAGCAGCCAGCGTACAAATCTTCATCTGTATTTACAGCCACTCCCCATCGCTCACATTACCTCCTGAGCTCCTCCTCCTGTCAGATCAGCATCGGCATCAGATTGTCATAGAAGCGCGAACCCTACTGTGAACTGTGCATGCAAGGGATCTAGGTTGTGTGCTCCCTACGAGAATCCAATGCCTGATGATCTGAGGTGGAGCTGAGGCAGTGATGCCAGCACTGGGGAGCAGCTGCAAATACAGATTATCATTAGCAGAGAGGTTTGACTGCACAGAGACCATAATAAATCAATTGCTTGCAGACTCACATCAAAACCTTATCAGTGAGTGGCAAGTGAAAACAAGCTCAGGGCTCCCACTGATTCTGCATTATTTTAAGTTGTATAATTATTTCATTATATATTTACAATGTAATAATAGAAATAAAGTGCACAATAAATGTAATGAGCTTCAATCATCCTGAAACCATCCCCCTACCCCCACCACCATTCTGTGGAAAAATTTTCTTCCACGAAACCGGTCCCTGGTGCCAAAAAGGTTGGGGACCGCTGGGCTAACCCATTACATCACTATGTAATATTATGCTACCCTGTCTCATAACTCATCAACAGCTGACATTATAAATACATGGGTCCTCATGCTGTCTATAAGGGATGATAATAAAAACCAGGAATCATATGCCAGAGTCCATAAGGGATGGGAGGGGAGCTGAAAGTATACACACCATTCACCTCAACCCCAGTCATCACTGCTTTCAGTCAAGAAGGTGTAGAGCCAAGCAAAGCAAGCAGCAGAGTTGCTTTACAATGCATTTTCATGGATATAACCTTGAACTCTGCTCACACCTGGTGGTTCCCTTGGCAGGATTTCTAAGACTTCTGACCTCTCTTTTTTGTACAATAATCTGAACAAGCCAGGAACATTTTTATAAGCCTAAACAAAACAAGATGTTTCAAATTGGAGAGACAAAGGCTGCCGGGGGGGTGGGGGGAGTACATTCAAATTCTCTGAAATCATGGAGTTATGAACCTAGCTACTGACAAACCTTGGCAAACAGTTTTATGGTATAGCTATTAAAGCTTCAAAGAAAGAAAAGACAAAGAGGTATCTGACATGCTAAGTTTTTTAAGACTGTCACCCTAATAGATTATATTTTAAGAAAAGCTTTAAAGATTTTTAGATAAATCTTTAATTGACAGATTCATGGAGCGTTTCATGGAAAATTAGTGTTTGGAAGTGATCAGGAAACGTAATGACACACTTTTCTTGGTGCCACTGTCAGAAGCAGCTAGCATTGCTCCAAGTTCATTAGATCCTCAACATGTTTGTTGACAATGGATGTGCTTGGAGCCACACTAATGCAGAAATTCATGTTTTCATAAGGTGAACACAGGCTTTTTCTTTTTCTGATTCAAGTCTTCATATTTCCACTTACAACGGAAAATTCAACTAAGTTGGTAATAAATGTGGTTCTATGTTTAAATGTGAATACTCTATATTAACTAAACAAATTTTATCACAGGTATAATTCTTTCCTCTTGATTATTGACTGTTCTCGCAAGAGCTCATGCCTACCTTTTAAATTTCTGAGAAACAGCCACTATACCCCATCGCCCCCTTCCATCTCCTCCTCCTCCTGTCCCAGCACCTCAGCTGTCCACCCCACCCCCCCATGCCCATTTCCTCAATTCCTTTTATTTGGTATCAAAACCACAATTTATTTCTCAGTTGTTTTAAAGTAGGTATTTTTTCTTTGACTTTCTTTTTGGTCCAGTGCTATTTGTTTTATCTTTATCTTGTGCCCTGCCCATATTAGGGACAGAAGAATATAAAACTTTAAATTTCAGCAATCCTTGTGAGACTTTTTCCTTGATTATTAAGGTAGCTTCTTCTTGGAGAACAGTTTTCCATGACTTCAGTTGTTGAACTTAACAGACTTGCCTTGTAGGTTTCTTTGGCAACAAATTTTAAATATTGATTTATGAAGTTAGAAAATGCAAATTTTATAAAAGAATACAAAAAGTGAACAGGCAACTTTCTTAGTAGCAAACTAAATAGATAAAAATCAAGGACAATGTGAATCAAATAATATACAAACTTTTATTCAAAGTTAATTCAAGAAAGACATATTTTGGTCATTTTTAAAGTAAGATTAATTGAAGATCTCAGAAAAATTCTATCTGATCAACACAGATGGCTACTCACAGAAAGTTGTCTTTTCTGTTAATAGCAGCTAAATTTATACACACAGAAAAAATTCTTAAGACCATGCAAATTCAGTTGAATTCCATACATTCATTATATTCATCAAAAACCTGCAGTAATGTTCATGCCAAACTGTTAAGAAAAAAATTTGAAATACACACCAAAACATGACCAAGATTAAACCAAAGAAAATAATAAATAAGCATAATTTATATTTTATTTTAAAAAGTTTGGCATCACACATGTATTCAAGTGTGTTACACCAGTTCATTCCTCAGAAGTGGCATTTTAAAGTGTTAAGCATTGTTAAATATCAAAAAATACAACTCTGTTTTACAATGTAGTACTGGCATAATTCAAAGTACTGTGCCAATTATAAATAGTATAATCAAGTTTCAAACATCTTTTCAAACATATTTAAAGGAAAGCAAATAGACACACATTTATATGCACACAATTTATTATACTCATGTAATCAAACATATTTTATAAAAGCAAACAGTTTTATCCCTCAACTAGTTTGTATACTTACACAGTTTAATACCTGTTCAAAGATTTTCAGTTCCTGTGTATACAGATTTTCAGGAGAAGGAATAAAGATGAAACTTAATTTTACAAGAACACATATTTATCCCCCTTCACAAAATAATCCAGTCATTCAAGATTGGTAACTAGTCTTTGTGAAAGCAACTATTGTCCAAAGACTACAGAATAATACTGCAGTCCAAGTTTCTTATTAAAATTCAGTCAGCTGCTGCTCACTGCAGAAAAGCTTACACGGTGCATCTACCAAAAATAATCTTCAATATCTGAGGCCTATAAAGGCAGATGATCTTATCTTCTGCTGAGACTTAAAGTGCAGCTACAAGTGGAGAAGTGCTAGACTCTCAGTCACTTCAGAAGTACTTGTTGAAGTCTGCTTCTTCTCATGTGTAAATGTGCTGAAAATGTCCTTCAGGCTCATAATGGCTTATCAATAACTGTGACCCCTGAACAAAGAAACGAAGAAATAAAACAGAAGTCACAGGAAGCATTCTGTATCTCTGAGAAAATACTGAAGTTTTTATATTATTACTTAAGAGGGGCTGAACAGATCATGATGTTTCAAAATCTCTTTCTTAGAAACTTTAGTATTACTATCATTTTAATCTAAATGACAATGAAATCTTTGTTTAAAAATTAGGGACCAAAACTACATAAGACTATTTAATCCAGAGCTCGTCTTTTGCTCTTCACAGTTACAATTAAGGGAAAATAATTTTACTCAAGAAATACTAAGATCCACTTAATACTCAAAGGGGCACAAACAGACTTTTAAGAGTGATGAATATTTTCATTACCTTGATTGTGGTGGTTTTGTGGTTATATACATATGTCAAAACTAATAAAACTGTACACTTTAAATATATGCTATTTATTCTATGTCAGATATATCTCAATAAAGCCGTTTTAAAAAATTTCACGTAATTTTGAGGAATGCTATCCTGGGATCCTACTCTATATATCAATAGTTCTATTAGGTGGTGTTTTAGATGACAAGTAACAGTGATGGTTAATTAGTATAAATTTCTTTTTTCCCCACTATTAAATCTATATTAGAATGTTACTGAAACATTCTAATATTTAAAGCAATATAAATATCATCAGAATAAACTACATGCAACATATACTTTTTTTTTTTTTTTTTTTTTTTGCTGTACGGGGGCCTCTCACTGTTGTGGCCTCCCCCATTGCGGAGCACAGACTCCAGACGCGCAGGCTCAGCGGCCATGGCTCACGGGCCCAGCCGCTCCGCGGCACGTGGGATCCTCCCGGACCGGGGCACGAACCCGCGTCCCCTGCATCGGCAGGCGGACTCCCAACCACTGCGCCACCAGGGAAGCCCGCAACATATACTTTTAAAGACTCAGCATTATATTTATTAAAGAGTATTACCATTTCTCTTACGAAGAGAATGGACCAAACTGATATTTTATAATTTAATCAGTGCTGTGCTTAAGTAAGAAAATTACTCTGTAGCCTCACTGTAATAGTATCACATGGAGCCCTGCCAGGGGAGATGTTATAGGGCTCATATCTTTTGGATATTTGAGTAATTAAAGCCTTGCTACATTGTGAATTCCATGACACTGCATACAGATGTAGCCATATTAAATTTTATGATGCCACACTGGAAAGATCTGTAATTTTGAATACAAGTGACTACAGAATGACAAAAGGATACTAGTGCTTTATTTCAGAATATACATATCTGATATTATTTTGAGAATAAGAAATAAGATATACTTTGAGAAAAGACTTCCTTCTTATATAGGAGAAAAACATTCTTTTTTTTTTTTTTTTTGCCGTACGCGGGCCTCTCACTGTTGTGGCCTCTCCCGTTACGGAGCACAGGCTCCGGACGCGCAGGCTCAGCGGCCATGGCTCATGGGCCCAGCCGCTCCGCGGCATGTGGGATCTTCCCAGACCGGGGCACAAACCCGTGTCCCCTGCATCGGCAGACGGACTCTCAACCACTGTGCCACCAGGGAAGCCCCGAGAAAAACATTCTTAATGTAAAAATGATAATGATGTAATCCTTTCGTATTATAACAGAAGACTATAAGAAAACTGAAGAATTATTACCTGCGTAACTTCTCCCTGTGCTCATACAAGATGACACAACTGTCCATTTATCAGTTGTTGGGTTATAATATTCTACTGATGCCAAGTTACAGGAACCATCATCCCCTCCAACTACATATAACAGACCGTTAACTGCACAAACTCCTTTAAAAAAATTACACAGAGAAAAAACAATTATTTTAAAAATTTGGATGAATATAAGTATCCCTGAACGTGTCTGGTGAGGTGATCCAGAGACACGTACTTCCTTGAAAGAGGCAAGGAGAGAAGATGGGGGAACCCGAAAAGAATTCCTTTATATCTGAGAATCTAATACTAACTGTAAGCTCCTACTCATATGTTACTTATGCAGTAGATGCTTTATATATGCATTATTTCATTTAACCTTCACAATAACCTTACTTTACAGGTTAGAAACTATTTTAATCCCCATTTTATTAAAAACAATAGAAAATTAAAAGTCAAAGAACTCTCCCAAAGTCAGCTTCTAAGGAAATTCTAAGGAAAAATAAATATATATATTAGTAGAAAGTAAAAATGATTCTGAATTTTAATTATTATACTGACTGGTCAACTATTTTATCTCCTTTAAAAGGGAAAACAGTATTATTTATTTAATTATTATGAGAATAAAATATTTTTTGGATTTTTGCAAAATTCAAAACATCTAGAAAAGTATAAAGAAAAAAAGTCCACCACTAATCCTATACCGCTTAGAATCCTGATCATCGAAATTCTGGCTCTTTTCTACATGTATATACTCAGACACTCCTTTTTTTTTAACCCCAAAGTAGCTCATACTACACATGCTACTTTTTACTCACTCCCACCAAACAATATATACCTTGGACATTTCCCCAAGTTAATAAATACAGATCTACATAATTGTTAATGGCTGCATAGTATTCCATGTATGATAATACCATAATTTGTCTTTTACTGATGGATTTTAAGTTATTTTCAGCTTTTTTGCTCTTATCAATAATGTTACAATGAACAAGGATCTCTTGCACATTTTGCATACTTGTGCAATAATTTTCTTAATATAAATGTTTACAAAGAAAACTGCTGAGTGAAAAGATAAACACATTTTAAAAGCTCTTTATTTCAATTTATTTTTTAAAAGCATATTTAATAATTTTAAACACGACTCAGAGCTTTTATGAACTGGTACTACAGGGCATCAAAACATCCAGAAGGGTGCTGCCCGCACACTGGTCTCTTTACAGACAGTTTTGCTAACACAATTAATAGGTGCTTGTAGATTTTTAACGTAACAAAATAATGAGCCCAAATCTCTACACAGCATTTAAAAGCAATAGTATCTTCTGTGCAAATGGAGTGGATCCCCTTTACTCAAACTCTGTTGTGCTACTATGATAGTCTCTCGACAGGAAGCAAACTCATATCATTTTAAAGTAGTTCAAATACCTGAAAAGCAAGAGCAGGATGACAATAGCTCTACATACACAAAGTATCTCCTTATTCTTCTGGCTAGAAGAAATGAGCTAATTTTGATTTGAAAACAATAAAACAAGGGTAGAGAAAAAATAAGACTAGAATAATCTTTAGGAAAATAATAACAAAAGTTCAAATTGCAAATAAATTTCCTAATCCAGGAAGCACATGCACGTATGCTTTTCTAACTTCATATGTGCTGGGCCCCAGATCTGTGGGTCTTACTATTAATAGTTCTGGACTATCCATAGCTAAGAGAGTTTTAGTACTTCACCAAGTACCAGTTGTACCAGTTGGATGAGGTAAAAGGTCAAGTAAATTAATTTTATATTTTGCTCTGTTGAGCAAGTTCTTGCAGTCCCATATACTTATCTCCCTTAGTGATCACATTTAAATTAAAGAGAAATTAAGAAGAACATTTCTGGGGGGATGGAGGGTGCATCTTGCAACATCATCCAGTGGTATACAGTGAGTTTGAGAATCATCAGGAACTTATTTTGGATTATGGAAACTGGCATGAAGACAATGGCATTTTTAAGAAAATGAGAATTTCCCAAAAAGACTACCCAGGTACCCTGAATCTATTTTCCATTTCTATTTCCCTTCTACAGATCTTCTTTTTAAGTAGGTAGTTCTGTACCTACTTAAAGAGATCTTGAAGACCTCAGCTTTCTTAAAATTATTGTTGTTGTTATTTTAGCTTTTCCATTTTCTAGAAACCCTGAACTGTATTAAAATGAGGTTGCTTCTTCAGGCTTCCCCTCCAGATTCAGATAAACAACTAGCTTTTTTATCTGGTATAAATATTTACTCAACTAGACTAAATTCCCTGAGAACTGGGCTTCAGAATGTGATACAGGTAGACACTCAAATATGTCTGTGGTAAGAATGAATGAATTCAAGTATCAAATAAAGAGGGTTCTTCCTCTAATTAAGTCTCTACATTCATCACCAAAAAGTAAACTTTGACAGATATTATAAGTTAACAGAAGGATCACATCAACCTGTTATGTCCAGACACTATACTAGGCATTCACTATATAGGATTATTACAAACGTTTCTGCCTTTAAAGAGCAAGTCTATTAGGGAACTCAGATCAGTAAAAGAACAATGGAAATACACAGTGATACTCTGAATACAATTCAGTATAAATTTCATAATCATAAACTAGATAGATACCTGCATTTCTTCTACACATGTTCATATCTGCAACCTGTCTCCATGTGTTGGTGGCGGGATCATACACTTCAACACTTTTTCGTACTAAAGGGCCATCATGACCCCCGACAGCATACAATAAGTTGTTTAGCACACCAACACCTGTAAAACACAAAGAACCAAACAATAGTAGAGTAAAAGGGACAAGAAATTTATAATATATTAGGGTTTCTTCAAATGACTTGTAAATAAAACTTCTGAAATGATTATTCATATTAAAAGTCAATATTAAAGCATACAGCCTAAGAAGCAGAAACAAATAGAATTACAAATGAGAATCTCAGAACTATTGTTCTAAAAAAGCATGTCAAATACAATAAAAATAATATGGAGGTGAAACACAGAGAGGGAAGTCCTTTACACGAATCTTTTGAAAACAACTTTCGTGATAAAAGCAAACCAATATTAGAGCATAAAATCTGTAAGCAATGGATATGGAGTTGATTATTAAGCAAGTTCTCCAATAAGCACTAGAAACAAAAACCTAAAAGTAATGCCAAACAATATAAATAATTAAACAAAACAGAAGCCTTTAATATAACACTTTAGAAATTTTACAAAGTGAAATTTAAGTGCAGCTACCTACCAACTCTACCTGCATAATGCAAAAGACATTTTAAGTGTCACTAGAATCAGCATATATTTTCTGATAATATAAAGAGATGCCATCATTTCACTTGTTTAATTCTTTTCCATCATTTCCATGCTTCAATTACTAAATGAGGTTCTTATTCACCTGCTCCACTCCGTCTGGTACTCATTTCTGCTATATAGGTCCACTCGTTTGCTGTGGCGCTGTAGCATTCTACTGTGCTGAGACACTGACGTGAAGCTCCATCATAACCCCCGACAGCATAAAGCAGACCTAAACATGGAATCACAGAGAAAGCCAAATTCATAAAAAGCTATTTTTTCAAGTCAGGAAATAATATATTTTCCTCCTTGGTAGCAGAGTTTACCTTTAAAGTATTAGGAACTATTTAAAATCTTGCCTAATGGTGATAGGTGGACTTACCAAATCATATTATTAAGATCTGCAGAATATATATGATATTAATTTAACACTTTCATCAATAATCTGATAGAACAAGAAAGTACACTCAGTATACCTTTGGATAAACACTATTTGGTAAGTGAACATCCTGGAAAACCAAATTAAATATCAAAGTTATCTTAGTAAATTGAAAAAAAAGTTGAATCAAGAGTCAGTACCAGTATACAATGGAATATTATTTGGCAATAAAAAGAAGTACTGGTAAAATGCTATAGCATGAACAAACCTTGAACATTATGCCAAGTCAAAGAAGCCAGTCACAAAGGACCACATACTGCAATGTATGATTTCATTAATATGAAATGTCTGTAAGTGGAAAATCTATAGAGAGACAGAAAAGTAGATAGTGTTTGCTGAGGGCTGGGAGGATGGGGATGATAGCCAAGGGGAGTAGGACTGCTTTGTGGGGGTAATAAAAATGTTCTAAAATGAATTGTTATGACAGATGCACACTGGATTTTATACTTTAAATGCATGAATTGTATGGTATGTGAATTCTATCTCAGTAAAGCTGGTAAAAGAAAAGTTGGTGCAGAGGATTATACCCACCATGGGGAGGGGGTGGGAACCCACAGATTCACCCAACCAAGTAAAAAAAAAAATCATACTAATTAAACTCTTTTGGGGGACAAAGTAGGATATAAATAAATAACTGTGGCAACCCATCCCTTAAATGTTAAACAGCCCTTCTCCAGATGTAAAATTTCATATTCATGCCATCTGGTTTGTTCCCCAGATGACTGTATTAAAGTCAGTTAGTAATATTACACAGGTGACACAGAGAGAGGGAGAAGGAGGGGGACAGAGAGAGAGGGAGGGGGACCAGAGGGCAGGCGTGCCTTATTTTAAAAAGGGATAACTAGCATTTTCCAATAGCCACTATTTCCCTTTTAAATGGCCCTTTGGTTGCCCATTTAGAAAACCAGAGTCCGGGTTACAGGAAGAACCACTCACAACCACCAGGAAGCCGACCCACCTCCAACTACGGCAACACCCACGCTGCTCCTCCTCGTGTTCATGGGGGCCACGTGGAACCACTCGTTAGACTTGATGTTGTAAGCCTCCACCGAGGACAGCCCTGTAATAAAGCACAATGCACTGCACCTCAGGTTCCTTGTATGTATTAGTAGGGGAAATACTTCAGCTGCATTAAAGTGGGCCAAAATCCAATTATGTGACGAAGAGGAAGAGCGAGCTCCTACGCAAGCTACGGACATTTACTGGCTTTTTAAACTTGGGAAGATGACTGACACTGAAGCATGAGAAAGAAAATTTACATACTGAGCACTCTTAACATCATTTAAAGGAATTCTGGATGGAAATTTTAAACTTATCTTCACAATACCTGTTAAAACATTCAAATGCCTCCTAATTTTGCTAGGCCTTGTTCCATAAATGTGATCGCTATGTTAATTCTAACAGCAATGAAGGAAAGATAAAAGAAAATTGCCTGTACTCCCGTCAAAGCCTCCTACGGCATATAACAGTCCGTTCAACACAGCAGCCCCCAGGGTGCTTCTCCGGTCTCGCATGTTAGCAACACTGGTCCACTGATCTTTCACAGGGTCATAAGAATCCACAGTGCGGACCCTTAAGGAGCCATTAAAGCCACCGACAGCAAAAACGAGTCCAGCCATGTAGACCATCCCTGAAAAAGAAATACAGCAGTTAATGATGCATGTGCAACCCAACTGCTACCAACATCTAAAGACTGCATTCCAAACAGTCTACAGCTGTTGTCAGAACAGAAGTCCCCCTCAGGAGAAGCCTGGCTGAATAGGTCCTAAGAAACGCTATTCATTAGCGAGAATATAGAATGAATAGACTGTGCTCCTTACTACTACTGAAAAATGCAATGGCATGGGCTGAGGTACTATTTTGACTCTTGGCTTCTTCAAAGACTTACTTACAGACGTAAACAATGAGCCAATATTTTCCAACTACTTGAACCTGTACACATCTCCCATGGCTTTCAATTTTGGACCTTCTACTCAAAAATACCAGACCAAGTGCTTCAAAAGAATCAAGGGCATGAAAGATAAGGAAAGACTACGGAACTGTCACAGATCAGAAGAGACTAAGAAAACATGACAACTAAATGCAATATAACAAGGGAAGATCAAGATGGCAGAGTAGGAGGACATGGAGCTCACCTCACCCACAAACGCATCAAACATACATCTACATATGGAACAATTCTCACAGAAAACCAACTGGAAACTGGCAGAAGATCTCCTTTACAACCAAAGCTGCAAGAAAGATCTCCACGTAACCCAGCAGGATGGGGGGAAAAAGGCATTCAGAACAGGACTGGCACCCCTGGGAGGGATCTGTGAAGGAGGGAAGGTCCACACAGGCAGGACCTCGCCCTGGGGAGCCCCTCTGCCTGCTACGAAGTCTGCCAGGACAGACAGAGGGACTGGAGGTGTTACAGACCTGGGTTCTTGGACTCTTCAAGCAACAGAAATTGATAAGAGGCCAGATGAGGAATTCAGGCAAGGCTTTATTGGGACTTGTGCTTAGCACGAGGGAGCAAAAACAAGTAACAGGTTCCCTTTCTTGCTCCCTGAGGAGAGGGGAGCTGTTTCCTTAAATGGGGTGAGAGTGGGGGCATATAGGTGGCTCGGGCTGGAGGCGTGGTTTAGGTGGTCTGCCCACCCCTTGGTGGTGGTGTGTGAAGGGATCATGCCCAGTACCCTGCTTTTGCTCCTAGCACTTCAGAAGTGGCAGCTGGGTTTTGGCCTTATTATTCATAATTACCCTGACTACACATGTGCACAGTTATTTTTAGTCCCTTAGAGTTTCTTTGTATTCTGTTGCTCAAGGAGCTGTTTGTCCAGGTGCAAGCACTGCAGTAAAGGGTTCCAAGTCCCAGGTCCCAGCCTGTCTCAGAGGGGCCTGGTCTCTGCTCTCAAGGAGTGTGTGGGTGCTGGTTTACTAGCAATCAGAGCAGAGCTGATAGCAGTAACCTCACCACGCTTCCCAGTCTGAAATGCATGATGGGCAGGGATGCTAGTATGCACAGCGGCTAGATGCTGAGTCTTGGGCAGACGGGCCCAGGAAGAGGACTCTGTCTACCTGCATGGAGACAGCTTGGACGGCCTGGGGTATGGCCTTATCAAACCTCAGAGCCCACTGTCAGCATTCACACCATGGGGGAGGGTCCAGATCCAGTGGACATTGTTGGTGCACACACTGGGTCACACCACAGAAATGCATGTTTTGGGTGGGCAGCCCCTTGGGAGGAGTATACAGGGGTTCCTTTTCTGTCTGGAGCACTCTAGTTCTGCCCAGCCCACACTGAAGCTTGGAGCCAGATCTAGTGCAGATAGGTCCTGGGAGAGGCCTGCCACAGAGGCAGCCCAGGTCCCAGGTGGCAGCACAACCACCTTGACTCCTGCAGCCACAGCACCCCAGCCCCCAGCACCAGCCCACTCCACACCACACACCATAGCCTAGCACTAGATCTGGGACAAACACAGTGGAGAAAGGGACACGACCTTGGGCTGCTTCTGGGCAGAACTGCAGATGACTGCAGAGGCGGTGCATAGGTTCACTGTGACCACATGGGCCTCACTTGCTTCACTTCACCTCCTTTGCAACGGAGGCCTCACTTCACCTCCTTTGCAACAGAGCAAGGGCAATGGAGCCATATCAAATCTGAGACTCAGGGTTTCTACTCAAACAAATGGGGAGCAGACCTTGCCCCTGACAAGGCTGTGACATCCACAGAGAAAAGAGGAGGCTGTGCCCAATATTCAGGGCAGGCTCTAGACACCACAACTCCAATCACGCCCCCTTATCAAGGGGATAATGGCCAGCACACTCTGAGGAAAGATATGGTTGGCATACAGCCCTTGCACCAAAAAATACTGGACTTACACAGTCTATACAGGGATGCTCCCACATAAAAACAGCCCTTTCAGACCACAATAGACAACTGTTTCTCCTAAATTCATAGAGACAGACGAAGTCAAGTAAAATAAGAAAGCAGGGGAACTACTCCCAATTAAAAGAACAAGAGAAATCCCCTGAAAGAACAAATAATGAAACAGACCTCTCCTATCTACCAGACTTATAGTTCAAAAAGGAGGTAATAAAGATGCTGAAGGGATTAAAGATTATTGATAGAAATGCAGATCACTATAACAAGGAACCAGAAACTATAAAATGAACCAGTCAAAACTAGACAACTCAATTGCAGAGATAAAAACAAATCCAGAGGCAATGAATTGTAGACTAAATAATGCAGAAGAACGAATAAGTGATCTGGAAGATAGAATGATGGAAATCATCCAATCAGAGCAGCAGACAGAAAGACAAATGAAAAAAACAAACAAACAAAAAAACCCCAAAGTAACATACAAGATCTATGGGATAATATAAAACATACCTATGCAAAATAGGCGGGTTGCAGAAAGAGAAAAAGGGCTCAAAAATGTATTTGAAGAAATTATGTGTGAAAACCTCCCAAACTTAAGAAGGAAACAGATATCCAGGTAGAGGAAGCACAGAGGGTCCCAAACAAGATGAACCCAATCACACCCACACCAACACATTTCATAATTAAAATGGCAAAAGAGATACTAGGTCAAAAAACAAGCCTCAACAAATTTAAGAGGATAGAAATTATTTCAAGCATCCTTTCCTTCCACAACAGTATAAAACTAGAAATCAACCACAAAAAAAAAATGGGAAAAAACTGAACACATGGAGACTAAACAACATGCTACTAAAAAACCAATGGGCACTGATGCAATCAAATAAGAAATCAGAAAATGCTTTGAGACAAATGACAATGAAAAACACAACCTTACAAAAACTATGGGATGCAGCAAAAGCAGTTCTAAGAGAGAAGGTCATAGCCACACAGGCCTTCCTCAAGAAAAAAACTCAAATAAACAACCTAACCTACCACCTAAAAGAATCAGAACAAGAACAAACAAAACCAAGGTCAGCAGAAGGAAAAATAATAAGGATAAAAGAGGAAATAAAGAAAATGAAGATCAAAAAAACAACAGGAAAGATCAATAAAACCAAGAGCTGGTTTTTAGAAAAGATAAACAAAATTGACAGACCTCTAGCTAGGCTCACCAAGAAGAAAAGAGAGCGGATCCAAATAAACAAAATAAGAAATGAAAGAGGAGAAATAACAACCACAGAAATACAAAAAATCAGAAGAGAATACTGTGAACAGTTATATAATGACAAATTGGACCTCCTAGAAGAAATGGAAAAGTTTCAAGAAACATATAACCGGCCAAAACTGAGTCAAGAAGGAACAGATAATTTGAACAGACTGATTATTAGAAGTGAAATATAATCTGTAATGAAAACAACTCCCTGCAAACAAAAGGCCAGGACCATACAGCTTACCTATCCTTCTCAAACTATTCCAAAAAATTACAGAGTAAGGAACACTTCTAAAGTCATTGTATGAGGGCACCATCATCCTGATACCAAAACCAAACAAAGACACTACAGAAAAAGAAAATTACAGGCCAATATCTCTGAAGAATATAGATGCAAAATTCTTCAACAAAATATTAGCAAACCAAATCCAACAATACAGAGAAAGGATCATATCTCATGATCAAGCTGGATTCATTCCAGGGTAAAAAGGGTGGTTCAACATACGCAAATCAATCACTATAATACACCACCTTAACAAAAGAAAAGAAAAAAACACATGATCATATCAATAGATACAGAATAAGCATTTGATAAAATTCAACTTCCACTCATGACGAAAACTCTCACCAAAGTGGGTATAAAGGGAACATATCTCAACATAATAAAAGCCATTTATGACAAAGCCACAGCCAACATAATACTCAACGGCGAAAAGCTGAAAAACTTCCCGCTAAATTCAGGAACAGGACAAGGATGTCCACTATTACCACTTCTATTCAATATTTTATTGGAAGTCCTAGCCACAGAAATCAGACAAGAAAGAGAAATAAAATGTATCCAAATGGAAGTGAAGAGGTAAAACTGTCACTATTTGCAGATGACGTGACACGCTATATAGAGAACCCTAAAGACTCCACACGAAAAGTATTAGAACTAATAAATTCAGCGTGGTGGCAGGATACAAGATTAATATACAGAAATCTGTTGCATTCCTTTACACAACAACAAAATATCAGAAAGAGAAAGTAAAAAAAAAAAAAATCCCATTTAAAATCCCAACAACCTAAGAATAAACTCAACCAAGGAGATGAAAGAGTTATACACTGAAAACTATAAAACAATGATAAAGGAAGCTGAAGATAATTCAAAGAACTGGAAAGAAATCTCATGCTCTTGGAAAAATTAATATGGTTAAAATGACCATACGATTTACAGATTAAATGCAATCCTTATCAGAATATCCATGATATTTTTCAAAGAACTAGAACAAATAATACTAAAACTTATATGGAACCACAAAAGACCCAGAAATGCCAAAGAAATCCTGAGGAAAAAGAACAAAGCTGGAGGCATAACTCTTCCAGACTTAGACACTACTACAAAGCTACAGTAATCAAAGCAGCATGGTATTGGCACAAAAACAGACATATAGATAAATGGAAGTGAACAGAGAGCCCAGAAATAAACCCACACACCTATGGTCAATTAATCCACGACAAAGGAGACAAAACTATATAATGGAGAAAAGACAGTCTCTTCAACAAATAGTGTTGGGAAAGTTGGACAGCTGCATGTAAATCAATGAAATTAGAACATTCCCTCACACTATATATAAAAGTAAACATAAAATGGTTTAAAGACTTAAATGTAAGACATGATACCATAAAACACCTAGGAGAGAACATAGGTGAAACATTCTTGGAAATAAATCATAGCATTATTTTCTTAGAGAAGTTTCCCAAGGCAAAAGAAATAAAGGCAAAAATAAACAATAGGACCTAATCAAACTTAAAAGCTTTTGCACAGCAAAGGAAACCATCAGCAAAATAAAAGACAACCTACGGAATGGAGAAAATATTTGCAAACAATGTGACTGACAAGGGGTTAATAACCCAGATATACAAATAGCTCATACTATTCAAAAAAGAACCCCAAACAACCCAATCAGGAAATAGGCAGAAACCTAAATAGACATTTCTCCAAAGAAGATATATAGATGGCCAACAGGCACATGAAAAAGATGCTCAACATCTCTAATTATTAGAGAAATGCAAATCAAAACCACAATGAGGTCTCACCTCACAGTGGTCAGAATGGCTATCATCAAAAAGTCTACAAATAATAAATGCTGGAGAGGATGTGAAGAAAAGGGAACCCTGCTGTTGGTGGGAATGTAAATTGGTGCAGCCAGTATGGAAAATGGTATGGAGTTTCCTTAAAAAAAACTGAAAATATAACTATGATATGATCCAGCAATCCCACTCCTGGGCATATCTGGAAAGGATGAAAACTATAATTTGAAAAGATACATGCACCTCAGTGTTCAGAGTAGCACTATTTATTGGGTTGGCCAAAAAGTTCGTTTGGGTTTTTCTGTAACCTTATGGAAAAACCTGTACGAACTTTTTGGCCAGCCCAATACAATAGCCAAGACATGGAAACAACCCGACTGCCCGTCAACAGATGATTGGTTTAAGAAGATGTGTTATATATACAATGGAATATTACTCAGCCATAACAAAGAATGAAATACTGCCATTTGCAGCAACATGGGTGGACCCAGAGAATATCATACTAAGTAATAGTAATATGCCAATGCTAATTTCTTAGTTTTGATAACTGCATCACAGTTTTATAAGATATTAATAATAGGGAATTACACACACACAAATAATTTGTGAGTAACACTTTTCTACACAAGAAACAAATCTTTAAGTCCAAGGACAAAATTCTGATGTACAGGAATTCATAAAAAGTAACATTGTTAAATGGCCAAAATAACACAAAAATAATGCAAGTAAAGTCAGAAGATAAAAGATTAATACAAATAAACATTCACACCACAAATGACAGACAAAAAGGCTACTTCCCTTAACGTATTAAATCAATAAAATAGTATAATAAAAAAATGGCAAGAATCATGAACTGACCATTCAGAAAGATGTTTAACTTTCCTCATAATAAAAGTGCAAAGTAGATAATGAGATAGCATTTTTCACCTACCAGATTGCAAAACTCAATTTAATTATAAGGTGTTATAGGGTATGTAGGGAAATTTGTACCTTCATATTTTACTGTTAGTGGAAGTAATAATTGGTATATCTTCCTTGCATACTCTTTGAATCATTAATTCTAGTTCTAGAGTTTTATCCCACTAAAATATATTAGCATACATACATAATAATATATGTATAAGGAATTCATTGAAGTACTATTTATAACATAAGATTAAAAACAATTTTAATGTTCAATTAAAAACTAGTAAAAATTATACTACATCCAGATCCCTGTCCAACATACTAGACAGCTCGAAAGGAATGGGTTAACTTTATGCTGTTATGTAACAATTTCTAGGATATACTGTTAAAGGACTACCATGGTAGAAATGTTCTGTTACACTTAGAACTCATTTGCTATGGGAGCTATGATTTATGGATCCAGGTTTGAGTCACAGGAGGAATCCTTAGAATTTGCAACTGCCTCTTCTGATTACAGTTTTGGATAAATAAAGTCTATTTCAACAAATGTTTGTAAAATGAATGCTTGGAAGAAGGAAACTGTGGCTTATTAGCTAAGTCAGGAATCTCTTAGAACCAAGGGTCCCAACCTTAAGAATTCTCAACACTTCAGCAAAGGTAAGTAGGAAAATATCCAGCAAATTGCTAGCTACTCCACTTTATACTAGAGAATCTAATATAAAGAATATGTAAATTGAAGACAGAGCAGCTATCCCCATCGATGTCTTATGAGTTGCACGGGGCTCCTCAATCACTCTGTAATCACATGGTTATTTTAATCAAAGCTTTTCCAATAAAGATTCTTCTAGCTAATAAAATAAGACCTGAGAGAGAAGCTCCCAATGACCCAGCAATAGGGAAATGACCGCAATGCATGATGCTTACCTGCCCTACATCTCCTGGAAGGCAATTCTGCTACTTGGTGCCATCGTTCTTCTTTGAAGTCATAGCATTCCACACTGCGGATAGCCTTTGGTGCTTGGCCCCCAACCACCACCATTAACTGCAAGGGCAGAAGTAGAGGCACTTGAACCAACAACTACTGCATGTTCAGGGATTTAAAATGTCTTACAAAGACAATGACATGGAGAATATTACGATGAAGATGGTAGGGGGAGCTGGGGGAAAACAACCACCTCATCAACATTTAATAAACATCAACAAAGGGGACACATGTATGTTAGAACTACAATTCTATTTTCTAGCACATTTAGTCAAAAATAAGGATATCAGAAACTAAGTTTCTGATCCTTCAAGCAAAAGCAGTATTTAAGCCAAAAACAGCAGGCAGTCAGCACTGGCAAGGCTGCAGTGTCATAGGGCTTGCTATAAACTAGATCCCAGCTTTGTAATGACCAGGGATTAGATCTCCACAATCTAGGAAAGCAGACAGAAGTGAAATTTATGTTAGTGGGTAGGTGAGATGAAAAGGACGATAAGGTATTAAAGAAAGATGGAAGAAGGAAAAAAAAAAAACCTATTGAAAAAGGAGAACTAATTGAATTGGAGTTCACAAGAGAGACAGATTCCCAGATGTCAAGTAAAGAGACCTCCCTGGATGCTCCACAAATAAAACAACCAAGAGGACAGATAATGGAGATACTAGAAATCATAACAAATGAATGAAGAACAGTCCAGCACTGAGAATAAGTGAGGTCCATAAACTTCTTCAATTCAATTCAATCCAACAACTATTTATTAAGTGCCTATCTTCCATATTTGATCAGAACTGTGCTAAGATGTTCTACATAAGAAATGTAAGACAGGGTCTCTACCCCCAAGAGCTATTAGATATCACTAAGGAGACAAGACTCTAAAGTACTTCAAGAACTATATACAATTATATGTGACCAGAAAGCTATGATTAGTTATAGACATTAATTGCTATTCCTGATCAGAAAATGAAACATAGCCATAATTTAGTGAAAGCTTCCTGGAGGGAGTAGAACCTTGAGAGATAGATGGGATTTAGCAATCAATGTGTTTGTCTTTTAACGAGTATAAGTGGGCACACTGGGCACTCTTTGGAAACACTGAAAACACAGCTGTCAATTCAGAAGAACGTGTAAGTTAATGATGTCACGTGTGTAACACTGTAAAGCATGGCAAGGACCTGTCAAGGGAAAAGTGAGATGACAGGAAAAACGGATGTTCAAAAGAAACAAAAAATGAAAACAAACAGAAGATGGAATGACTCATGCATACAAAAAGGGAAGGTTTGCAACCTTGACTGAGCAACGACCTACCTGTACTTGGAACTATAGAAAGATGGGTACACAGAAATCAGAATAAATCTTGTTTCCGAAAAGAAGCCTATTTTAGTAATTTATTTACTGGAAAGTATAAAGAATTTTAAAGGTCTTAAAAAGAAGACTGAATGTAGCACAGTTATATAATTTTTTTTCTGACCTGCCATTCCTCTAGTGTTGAATACAAATAAATAAAAGGAAGAATTAACAAAGAAAATCTGCAATACCCTTCCCTCCTAATCCCAAAGGGAAAAAAGGGAGGGGCAAGGTTATGAAATCACAGAGGTGAAACAGACAGTAAGATCAATCCTGTATCTAGAGGTCTATAGAAGACCTACCTGTGCTTAACTTTTAAACTCTGCCCGGCAGTTAGACAACAGTTGAAAGAGGTTTGGTTAACATCTCTGATGAAGATCAGTTTAAAAAAATCTCTAAAGGGAATACTTTTCAAATAATCCTTGAGAAACAATATGGTTTATTAGATTTCATGATTCTCAACTATGAATCTTGTGATTTCCACACAATAGTTCACTTCTTGTAGATCAAAATGAGGATGGAAGGGAATATGTGCTACCGAATATACAGAAAGGTAGTAATATCTGTTCTTTACTCACCCAAGAGAAATAAAATGGGGTGAGGATTTGGAACTCCAGGAATCAGAGATAATGGGGAAAGGAAGAATGTATCATGGGAAGACAAGAGCAGGAGAGCAGGGATATTTGTATGAGATCAAGAGACGGTGATAAAAACCACTGTGCTACTAGCATCAAAAGAGGTGTCATGACTCTGACACCCCAATTATTTGTGACGCCTGATCTGAGAAACATCATACTAGTTTATGCTAATGCAAAGGAATAGAAAACTGGGAAGACATTTGTATGGAAAAGTTAAATGTGACGTATTTAAGGAAGGCAAGGGGTCGGGAGTTACACAAATTCAAGTGACCATCCTGAAATGTAGATCAATTAAACTTTGTTCTTTCATTTTCTTCACCTATTAAATATTAGTTTTGCCTCCTGAAATACCAAGTTTCATAATTTTCCAACTGGAAATCTTAATAGATATCCTGGGTAAAAAAAAGAAAAATAAATATATAGAAATAATAAGATTGCATTTGTAAAAATACAGATTCCAAAGATAAAAAGAAGCTAACAACAAAGCACAGTAGCAAAACATATACAGTTTTTCATTATACTGTCCAAATCCAAGAGTGCCTTACACAATCCCAAGACGGTTTACTGACGATACAAAATATCGTCATATAAATAATATCTGAGATATAAAATAACATCTGAGATACAAAAAGATCTTTGATGCAAATTAGTATGCGTCCACAGAATCAGAGCCTAATTAGTCACTGTCATGGTAGAAACATTATCTATTATTCCAGCATTGCTACCACATTTTGTCTCATAGGTCTTACCATGATTATGATATGTCAGCAAGAGAAATTAATCTTTGCCTCATTCTTACCTACCTATTTAGAATTAATCTTGAGTACAACCACTCTAAAATGACAAACAGTGCTACTGAAAAACGTGTCCAACACAAGCACTTTTGCAAAAACATGTGCAGATAAATAAACTTTGAGGAGAGACTATGCAAATGCAAAATCAGGAGCTGAGTAAGCTCCCTGCTACCTGTCAGGTCTGCAACCCTCCTCCCCAGCCACCCTGAGAGAACAGAAGAGAACCTTCATGGATCAGCATACCCACCACAAAATCAGAGCTAAAGAACTGAGAAACCGAAAGTTTAATACAGTTAGGAGGGTCACTCCAAAGCCACAACCAGAGAAGCCCAGAGAGTGTCAACTGAACAGATGATCACAACTCTACATAAGAGAAAATACTTGATAGGATTTTACCAAAGACTCTTTAGAATGTTTTCAAAAGCGACATGCTTATTACAGAAATTAGAAGAGAATTAGTTTTCACTCTAAAGGTTAAGGCATAGCTAAAGATAGCAAAGCTAAAGATGCCAGCAGAGGGAACATGCAAGTTAAGAAGAGATCTTTTATAAATATGAAATGTTTAAAAAGTATTAAAGATAAAACAAGCTATTTAGAAGGAAGTTAAAGAGACCAGCATAAAAGAAATAATAATTCGAATGGGCTAAGCCTATGAACAACTTTTATAAATCTATTTTTTTTGTAAGAACAAAAACTGACACCAAATAATATGGACAAATATGAAGTAATGAAGACTTATAGAGACGGCTACTTATAAAAGGAGGTAAAAGGGTATTTGGAAAATGTGAACACTTATAAAATCAGCAGACCCAGATGGCATGCATACTAAGGTGTTAAGGGAACTAGCTAATGTACTTACTGAGCCACTTACAATTATTTTTGAAAAATCTTGGAGAACTGAGGAGAGATCAGAAAATTTAAAAACGGCAAATACCAATTTTCAAAATAGGGTAGGAAGTGAGTGCCTTGTAAATACTTTTTAAGTGATAATAATTCTCAGTAAAAATTTAGAATATTTTGAGAAAAGCATTTGAACTTCCAGGAGCCTATGAAACGATGAGTAACACGCAGAGGGATGTTAAAAAAAAAAGCATGCCAAATTTGAATCTATATGATCCTGAATCTCAATAGATGTTATGTGCCAAATTATTTACTTTTTGGCTTAGATAATAAACATAATCATATAGACTGAAACTTCCTACAAACGGACTATGTTGGTAAGTGGGTATTTCTAATGAGGTATCACCAGGGAGAGTACTGAAGTCCATTTTAAATTAAAATATTTACTAATGATCTAGAAAAAAGGAGGGAGTAGCACATTGGCAAAATACATTTGGTTCTAAATTGAGAACTCTTGTTAACACTGGGCAAAACAGAAAAACACTACTAATATGGATTTGAAGCAATTAAAATGTAGACTCCAAAAAAAAATAAAATTGAAAAAACACTAAATAAAAGCATTAAAGTGAAAGAATTTAAAAGATTTAATTTAATGAAAAGGTAAAGTAATAACTAAAGGTGATATAAGAAAACAGTGGATAACAGATTAATTCTTATTTCTTAATTCATCATTGCCCCAAACACACATGAGAGCTAAAAATCAATACATAAATAAAAGCATTATATTATGGGTCATTCTGATTAGACCATACACAAAATGGTGCTTAAAGTGCTGGTCTCCTAGTACTGTAAAGATGCAAACAGAGCAGAAGGAATTGCAAACAGAGAGACAGAAATGAGGGGTTATTTGTAAGGAAAATTAAATCAGTAAGACATGAGTGGCTTCAACTAAAAAGATAAAGGTAGAATATGAACTTTCACAGAGGAATTACATGAACACTGGAGATCTGGGAAAACATATGGAAAATCTACACTGAAATGACTATGTATGATGTGTGAGTGAACCATCAAATAGTACACAACAGACAATAGGAAGGAACAAAAGGAACAAGCTAGCATCCTAAGTTCTTAGCAATTCTGTGAAACTAGTCGGTTTTCAGTTACTATCCAAACATGTAGCTTACAAAGAAACCTTTGTAAAGAGCTAAAAAAAACTCAGAAGGGACAAATACCAGTTGCCTCTGTTCCAGAAGAGTGACATCATGTAGTTTATAAAGATTAAGTGAGTCAAACAATCCCCACCCTCCACAGACAAAATTAATAGAGAAGTTGAATTATATACACTTCAATGAATTCCTGGGCACATGGAAAATCAGATGAATAAAATATTAACAGCCTCACTATGGGCCTTTCAGATGAGGTAGTAACAAGTATGAACAGCAGATCCTACTTTGGGAAGGTTCATGGGTGTCCTCAGTCGGGTCCGGACACTCTTCATTAATATACGCTGCTCTGTTGGTAGCAGATGATACTTCATAGCTTCAATGAGGTAATCTTTGCAAGCACTGCTGTTCTTCACCAGTGCTTCTTCCTCAACCCTCTGGAAGAAGAAATCAGACCCACCCCATGAGGGGATAGCTACTTCATGATAAGACTGACAAAGAAACAAAGTAGAGGAAAAAAGCAATAACTATCCTCCCTGGTTCAGTCTAAAAGTTACAGAGGAAAGTTTATAAATATCACTAAAAGAAAAGTAAATGATGCCCCCAAATGCTCAAGTATCTGGTCTGCAGAGCAAAATATTTATAAGTAATAAAGAAGAATTGCAATGAAAATTATATACTTCAATGTCAGCTACAGAATAATCTTTGGATAATATTATGTTCACCTATTTGTTATCTTTAAACATTAAGCCAAATAGTAAGAAAAATAAGAAAATTTAGATAATGAGTCCTTCAGGTGGGGGAGGAAATATTTATAAATTAAAGATGTCTTTTTAAAGCACAACTAAATACCCGGAAAAGGAATTCAAAATACTTTATAACAATGTGCCTACACCACAAATAAAACTTGTCCTTGCTATCCCTGACATCAAGTGCAGGACAGATTTTTTTCTGTTCATTTTCTTAAAGGCAGAGTACCAATGATTACACAAATTACAAAAAATAATGAGGCTTCAAGAAATTCTAAAATGATCAGATCTAATCTCCTAATAAAGAAATGTTTCATTACATGGTTTCAATTATAAATTAAAATGTTGAAATGTTCCTAGTAGAATATTAATAAAACAATAAATTTAAAATTGTTCAGAGACTACTAAAGATCCATTTACTGCTATTTATTTCAAATAACCTGGTTTTCCTCAGTTTAGAAGTAAAGACAGAAACCAAATGCAAGCCACTGAAACTGTGAAGGAAAATTAAAAAGTATTTGAGTTGAACATCAAAATTCCATTTCTACAGAGCAGTCAGAGCAGGCTATCAAAAGGAAAGCAAAGGAGATGCAGAGCAGTGACACAGAGCCACAAATGCATTTATTTACATGTACTTAAGTCACCACAAATACTGCCTCCATAAGTTCTAGTACTTGCTTACTCAAATCAGAAATAGGGAAGAAGCAAACCTGTAAGACTGGGAACTGCCCCAAGAGTTAGCAGCTGCCAAGGACAGCAGGTGCGTTTACTGCCCTCTGCCTAGTTACCACTGTGTAACAGGAATCTACATGCTGTCAGCCCAGTGACATGGAGTAGGTGTACTCATGTGTTTTGCAAATGCTTTTACCTGAACTAAATATTCCCGAGGAAGTAAAGGTAACCGTACATGTTCCATCAGCCGAGCCATAAATTCTTGCCTTACGTCCTTGTCATGATTCACCCAAGCTATTACTGCTTCAAATACCTTGCCGAAAATATGGGGGAAAGAAAAATAAGTAATGAGTTATGTACCAAAGCATCTGAATAAAATACAATATTACATTTTGTATACAACTCTTGCTAAGACATCCAAGTTTAATCCATGGCTCAAGTTTTTCAAATCCTGACTTATGATGCACTTGAAAAGTACATCCACTCCATTTCTTTCTTTGCTTTTTATTTTTTTCATTTGGTACTTAGTATGTACTTAATTTAAGAGGTACTCTCAGGAACTTTTAGATAATACAGTATTGTTAGTCACATTAGGTCTCTAGAACTTTTTCATCTTATAACTAGAAGTTTGTACCCTTTGACCAACATCTCCCAGATTCCCCTACTCCCAGCCCCTGGTAACCACCACTCAACTCTCTTTCTATGAGTTTGACTTTTGAGTCTGCATATAAGTGAGATGATACAGTATTTGTCTTTCTCTGACTTATTTCACTTAGCATAATGCCCTCAAGGTCCATCCATGTTGTCACAAAAGGCAGCATTTCCTTCTTTTTATGGCTGAGTAATAATCCATTGTGTGTATATAGCACCTCTCTATCCATTCATTCAGGTTGTTTCCACATCTTGGTTATTGTGAAAAATGCTGCAGCCAATACAGCAATACAGATATCTCTTCAAGATTCTGTTTTTATTTCCTTTGGATACATACTCAGAAGTGGGACTGCTGGATCATATGGTAGATCTACTTTTAATTTAGTAGGTACTTTAATAAGTACTTGAGTACTTTTATGTATTTAGTGAGTACTTTTTGCTGGGTATTTACTACATATTTCATCAAGTACATTATCTAATCTTCTTGAACTTGAGTGGTAGCGGTGATAATTTGATGATATATGATCTAATTCATTGTTGACAACCTTTCCAAATTGAATTTGGTTCTACTTACTTAGATTTAAATCTAAAGTCCCTTTTGAATAAAGCACCCAAAATAATAAAGCAAAGTGATATCTGGAATGAAAATCATGTACTCTTAGCAACAACTCATTTTTTGGCTTTTTCTTTGGGTTTACAAACAAATGCTGGACCATATACTTCTAAATCAAGGATCTGCAGAATAGATTAACTCTCTTTTGTCACAACAGTAGAATGTATTAAAATATAATATTTTATATTAAAAATAATCAAAATAATAAGGGCATTACAACATATATGTATGAGAAAGCTAATAAGCTATTATGAAGACAGTATTTGACTACATAATTTCCTTCCAGACTGATGAATATACAACCCAGTAATCTTTAACGGGTTGTAGAAAATGTCTGATGATATGTAAATGAATAACTAGGAAGCAAAAAATAGGTTATTTTGATCCAGGTATAGAGCAAGAAGCTAAAAGTAATCTACATTATAATTAATGAGCCTCTTTAATTCATTCAGTCACCAAGTACCTCTATGTGCCAGATGCTAGAAGATAAAGAGGGTCCTGTCAATTCTATCTGCTATTTCTCAGCTCTGTCTTCTCTTCTCCACCCCTCTTTCTACCACCCTATGCCAGATCCTATTGCTCACTGGTAACTTCAACATCCTTCTATATGAACCTCACCCCACTTTTGGTCCATTCTGCACACCACCACTTTGGAGCTAGTCTACAAAAATGGTCCCTAATAAACCACTTCTCTGGTATCCACACCTTATGTAGTAACCTCCCACAGGAATCTAAGCTGGCCCTGTGTAACCAACAGAAGGTTGTGGAGGCAGTGCTGTGGGGCTTCTGAAGCTGGGTCATAAGATGCCTCTGGTCTCTTGAAATGCTCATTTGGGGGAAGCCAGGTGTCATGTAAAAAGTCTGATTACTGGAGATGAGATGCTATGAGACCCAAGCCAGTCATAGAGAGGAAGGGGGGTGGGGAGGGTGAGCTACCAACCAATACCTGGCCCAGGAGCCAGACAAGCGAGTGAAGGAACCATCCTGGGTGTTCCAGAAACATAAAATGCCATGTGCAGAGGGACTGAAGCCTTGGGTATGTGGCTCCAGTAGAATAATGCCACCCGTCAAGCCAACCCAGCTGAAGCCCCAGGCACTGCAGAGCAGAGACAAGCTGTCCCTATGTGCCCTGCATGAATTCTGCCCACAGACTGTGAGCATAACGACATGGTTGTTTTATGTCACTGCATTTTGGGGTGGTTGTTATGCAGCAGTAGAAAACCAGAACAGCCTCCATGACATTTCTACAGTGAAGGCATTATCATAGCACTCTTCTACTGATTAGAACCCTTCAGAGGCTCTTCATCACCAGGATAAAGTCAATTTTTTTAAAAAAATTTTTTGGCTGTGTTGGGCCCTCGTTGCTGTGTGCGGGCTTTCTCTAGCTGTGGTGAGTGGGGGCTACTCTTCATTGCAGTGCATAGGCTTCTTGTTGTGGCTTCTCTTGTTGTGGAGCATGGGCTCTAGGTGCGCGGGCTTCAGTAGTTGCGGCACACGGGCTCAGTAGTTGTGTCATGCGGGGTCTAGAAAGCAGGCTTAGTAGTCGTGGTACACGGGCTTAGCTGCTCTGCTGCATGTGGGATCTTCCCAAACTAGGGCTTGAATCAGTGTCCCCTGCATTGGCAGGCAGATTCCTATTCACTGTGCCACCAGGGAAGTCCAAGTCAATTTTCTTTAACATGGCTGAGATGGTATTTTATGTCATCTTCCCACCTTATCTCCTACCACTGTGCCAAATATACTGTAAACTCTAATTGTAGCGAACTAAAAGAATGCAATCATTCTTTCACACCTCTTTGCACTTACATATTCTGTTCCCTCTACCTGGGCTGCCCTTCTCCTTCCCACCCATCCCTGTTTTCCTGGCAAATTCATACGCACTTTTAAAAATTTGGATCATACATCTGAGCCACACTTAACTCCAATCTGTATCCAAGGAATGATTAAAGGCTCCTTCTGGACCCTCTACAGCATTCCGTGATCATTTATTATCCCACTGGTTGTCCCTCTAGTCATGAGTAAAGGATTTTATTTTGCAATCTTCTTGTATGGAGGACTCCATGGCAGTGTCTGGTACACAGTACGCACTCAACACACATCTATTAAACATGAATAGTAGTGTCTTCCTCTCCTCTATATTTCTGGGGTGTTAAGATTATACATTTCACAACCACTTTCACATATTTTTTTATTTGGTAAATATTATAAGAAATGTGTCTTTTTGCCCCAAGCAGTATGAATATCCTTGAGGAAAAGAACAACAAAGTTTATACAACAAATCACACAAAGGAAAAACTCAAGTTTCACTTCCTCCAAACACTGCAGGTTCATAAGCTTTTGCCCCAATTCCCACAAGCTACAAAACCTACCCAAAGAATAAAACCCACTGAGAAGCTTCTCCCTCCACCGATACAAAAGGTGCAGGTGGCTGAAAAAGGCAACCCCAAATTCGGAGAGACAGGCTACAACCAGACAAAGCAGCTGCACAGGGCTCTGGAAAGGGGGAAGGACACATGGAGAGGGTGGGGTGTAAGCTGCAGGGGCCAGTCTGAAGGAAGAGGTCAGTCTGGAACTAGCTAAACTTTGCCACCTGGGTGACTTCGTCCAACTCACATGATGGTGAAATTACTTTGGTTTGTGAATATTATGTTTATTTATTTATTTATTTTTGAAGTGGCTTCTTTTTATTAATTTATTTATTTTTGGCTGCATTGGGTCTTCGTTGTTGCATGCGGCCTTTCTCTAGTAGTGTTGAGCGTGAGCAGGGGCTACTCTTTGTTGCTGTGCGCAGGCTTCTCATTGCGGTGGCTTCTCTTGTTGAGGAGCATGGGCTCTAGGCATGCAGGCTTCAGTAGTTGTGGCACACAGGCTCAGTAGTTTTGGCTCATGGGCTCTTGAGCACAGGCTCAGTAGTTGTGGCGCACGGGCTAGTTGCTCCACGGCATGTGGGATCTTCCCGGACCAGGGCATGAACCCATGTCCCCTGCATTGGCAGGTGGATTCTTAACCACTGTGCCACCAGGGAAGTCTGAGAATATTATGTTTAGATCACAATTTTCCCTGGTATCTAGCTGTGAGAAGAAACCCAGTTCCCCAAAGGCCCTTTGTTTCAGATAGTTCAATGTATGCAAGCTCTTGCTGTGGGGTCAAGCACAAAACTCTGGTGTCTAACCATTTAGGGACGCTCCTAAGGGTTGAGAACACAGTTATTTACCCAACCAACAAGTCAACTAGTGGAGTTTCTCAACTTCCAGATCAAAGATCACTGGCTGTCACTACACATACAGGATCACAAAGTTACAAAACAAAGTGAAAGAAAGGAAAAATACTATATCACTGTACACTGGGAAAAGAAAAATACACTTACTTTCTCTTCTGAAGAAATGGTAAGTTTGTCACTCGAGATTAAGCTGCACACTTGTTCAATGCCGAGGTTGAGAAATTCTTCACTAAGTACGACATCTGCAAAATGTTGCTCTGTTTGGAGGTTACAAAGAAAACCCATTAACGCCACATTCTATTACCATAGTTTCAAACTGCTTAAAAAAAGAAGAGGGTTTTTCCTAATCTAACCTATGAAGGAGAAAACCAAGTGTACTTCCTTAAGGCAAGAACTAACAAGACAAACCCAAACAAACTCTCCTGGGGAAGTGGTCTGTACTTGAGTGACAAAGTGGAAGCACAGGCAGGAAGGTAGCCTTACTGTACACTCGGCTGAATCACTTCTGTTTTTATAAGGGGGTGTTTTAGAGTTAAACATCTATCTATTCCTTATCTGGTAATAAGACTATCAGTGTTGAAATTTGTAAAACCTTTTGATTACATAAATCAGATAAAGTACATGGTGTTATTATTCACACACTTAAATGTATTATGTAAAACATTAGAGGGCTTTAGGACATAATGGGGTAAGGAGGGGAAGCTGCTTTAATTGAAAACTAAAGACTAAACAAGGAAATCTTAAATGCTGGTCAGTCTGAATAGATAACTCTGAATTCTATGTAAGCAATTTACTTGCAGATCAAGTTACACTATTTTATACCCTCAATTCCTTTCTAGAAACCAGTGAAATTAGTAATTCTTAAAACTGAAAAAGAAACCCTTTCTTTGATTTCACAAATATACCCACTCCTCCAAAGGGGGGGGAGGGGGTACTATTAGTATAATCAATGACTTAAAAACTTAAAAAAAAAAAAGAAAACTAATCATTTACAAAGTATCCTTTCCTCCAAATCTAGCTCTCATTTTAAAGCGTGAGCTCACAAGGAAATATGGTGGTCAAATCCCAGCTCTGCCACGTGCTAGTTTGTAAAACCTTGGGAAAGTTTTGTAATTTCTCTAACCCTTGGCTTCCTCATCTATAAAATGGGGATAATAAAAATACCTTACATAACAAGATTGCTGTGAGGATTAAATAAATTAATGGCTTGTAAGCATCTAGAACTGTGTGTGGTAAAGGGTAAAGACTCAATAATTTAGCTCTTATTGTATTGTGATCCCTATATTCTAAAGTAAAAATCTGCTAGGAATTCTAGGTATTTTCTAGGTCTTTACAATTAACTATATTCTAATAGTAATTTTTTTCAAAGCCTTTTTTTCTAAGGTGAAATAAAAGATTCATTTCAAATGTATGTTTCAACATACCATAAAAAGGGTTAGTTGGCTTCCCTTGCAGAGAACACAGAGCAAAGCAATGCCCCCAAGACTGGAGAGATCAACAGGAGAACACAGGGAGCTGCAGCTGATTGAAACAGAGACTCACAAGTGGAAACTGCATGCGAATCAGTGCGAGGGTAGGAAAATCTCAGCGTGGACAACTCTGAGAGTTAAAAACTCCAGGGGGACCCAGTCATAGGGGGATCCCCTCAATATTGTGAGATTTCCTCCAGGAGCTCGACCAGGTTTCCACAGTAAATGTGAGAGAAGAATCCCCTCTGGCTTCTGGTAGGGGGAGGAGAAATGAATTTCAACAATTTGAAATACCCAAAGCAGTCTGTTCTTAATAAGGCCTGCCCTCAGGAGAAACTAGTTAACCAGAGCCTAACTGACCCAAGGAAGGGAAATACCCAACTCCAGCCCACTCCAGCCATCCTGTCCCACCTAGGGAGGGAGAAAGAAACCTGAGAAACATTTGTCAAGCTCACAGTCCAGAGCCATAGGCTCACTAACAAACTGAGACCTAATCATAGGAATACAGAAGGTTTCCCTCCCCACATCTCACTGCCACATCTCTAAAGGCCTGTTTACAGCAGTTCCTTTCACTGGGTACATCACGTCTGGCTACCAGGAAAAAAATTACAAGGCATTCTAAAAGGCAAAAAACACAACTTGAAGAGACAGAGCAGGCATCCAAACCAGACATGGCAGGGATGCTGGATTTATCAAATTGGGAATTTAAAACAACTATGATAAATATGCTCAGAGCTCTAATGGATAAAGCAGACAGCATGCAGGAACAGATGGGCAATGTAAACAGAGAGATGGAAAATTCTAAGAAAAAAGTAAAAAGAAATGCTAGAGATCAAAAACACGATAAGAAAAATGAAGAATGTCTTTGATGGGCTGATGAGTAGACTGGACACGGCTGAGGAAGCAACCTCTGAGTTTGAGGAAAATGGTGGATACATGTCATTATACATTGTCAAAACCCACAGAATATACAACACAAGCAGTGAACCATATATACTATGGTCTTCAGTTAATAATAATGTATCAATATTGGCTCATAATCTGTAACAAATGTACCACACTAATGCAATATGTTAATAATAGCAGAAACTGTAGGAAGAACAGGAAGAACTCTCTGCACCGCCCACTCAATTTGTCTATAAAACTACAACTGCTCTAACAAATATTACTAGTTAAAAAAGAATGCAGTGATAAAGAACAACATAAATGATTAATTTGTAACTGAATAATAGTTCCTGACCTCACAAGAAGTTTACACAAAAAAATCATTTCAGAAGTTTTTATACATAAAGAAATATTTTCACTTCCAAACATAGGCCTGTAATGATTTTGCACCAAGCTTCTTTTACAGTTTTAAAATCTGAATCAAAGAAAGAGATTACTGGCCTCCCTATACTTTTCATGGGGGAAAAAAATCTCTAGTGGTAACAAACACAACAGAGAGAACGTAACTTTTCTATATCAGGACTGTATAAGTTACCCTAGACTCTTGCCTCATTAATCAGAAAAATGGACTAACTAAAAAACAAACCTGGTAACGTTTTAAAAATAATCAATTACTTAAATTTATAAGTAAGGGCATTAGTAAACTTTATCCAAAGTCAAGTTTGGGCTCTAAATTCATTGTGTACTCTTTACTAGTGATCAAAGGAGGTTAAGAGGGCAGGAAAAGTAGTCAACTACTACAACTGTACTGTCGACCTTCCCATATCCAGGGCTGTGAAACTCAACTGTATTCATCCTACATCATTTTATACAGGGGACCGGAGTATAGACAGATGTTGGTATCAGCGGGTCTCCTGGAACCAGTCCCCCAAGGATACACAGGGATGATGGCATTGCGAAAACCATAACATAGCTGTTATTCAAACAAATGAACCTGAGGACCCTCACCAATTACAAAAAAACTAGTCTAAATGAAAAGCAGAGAAAGATGAAATGTTCAAAGGAACTTTCATTGTAGAAAGTCATATACATATTTTTAAATAGTTCCAACCCTCACTTATGTTCTACTTTCTACCTGAACAACCTCTCCTCCTCAGTAAAAGCTTTAGGTATTGGTATCTAATGTTTACCCCTTCACATTAAGCTTTCTTGGAAAGGTTTTGGCAATTATGTAGAGCATCACTAAATATGGAGGGCAGTATCTGGCAACATCAGGAGTAAATTAGTTTACTGTAAGGCCTGCCTTTTCTCTATTTATATGAACAGTATGAATCTTCAAATGTTCTGCTGTATTAACTGACAGGCAATTTGGCAGGACTCTTGCTGGTTAATACACCCCAGGCACCCAGACACACCAGATGACTGGCTCAGTCACTGTAAGGCACTCTGGGGCACGAGTGATATTTTAAATGTCTTTGGTTACACAGGTTTGTCCTGTGAGTAATATTCTTAATTTAATGTCACCTAACTTGAGCATTTACTGATCTTTCCCACTAAACTTGAAGATTCCACCTACCTACCTACCTACAACAATTCACATAATTTATATGGCCTGACTTCAACCCACACACCAGCAGAACTCACGGTTATCCTAGGGCCACTATCCCTGGCCCAACCCTCTCTGTTTCCAGAACAGCTTACGCTTGACACTGCCAGTTGTCTGTTATTTTATATGTTCTGAAGCCTTGGTCTCCAGATCCTATTGTTTCTTATCAGTCCATGCTTGCTCTGCATGATCCTACCAACCTTAAAACTTTAACCAATTCACTCAGTATCAAACTAAAAACATTAAAAGTAGCATCCATTCTTTTTGATGTGATGGTAAATAAGATTATTTCCTTAATCTCTCTTTCTGATACTTTGTTGTTAGCGTATAGAAATGCAACAGATTTCTGTATATTAATTTTGTATCCTGATACTTTACCAAATTCATTACTGAGCTCTAATAGTTCTCGGGTAGCCTTTAGGACTTTCTATGTACAGTATCATGTCATCTGCAGACAGTGACAGTTTTGGGACTTCCCTGGTGGCGCAGTGGTTAAGAATCTGCCTGCCAATGCAGGGGACATGGGTTCGATCCCTGGTCTGAGAAGATCCCACATGCCGTGGAGCAACTAATCCTGTGCACCACAACTACTGAGCCTGTGCTCTAGAACCTGCGAGTCACAACTACTGAGCCCGTGTGCCACAACTACTGAAGCCCATGTGCCTAGAGCCCATGCTCTGCAACAAGAGAAGCCACCGCAATGAGACGCCCAGCACTGCAACCAAGAGTAGCCCCCACTTGCTGTAACTAGAGAAAGCCTGAGCGCAGCAACGAAGACCCAACGCAGCCAAAAAACACCCCACAAACAAACAGTGACAGTTTTACTTCCAGTTTGGATTCCTTTTATTTCTTTTTCTTCTCTGAATGCTGTGGCTAAGACTTCCAAAACTATGTTGAATAAAAGTGGTGAGAAGGGGGCTTTCCTGGTGGCGCAGTGGTTGGGAGTCTGCCTGCCAATGCAGGGGACACGGGTTCGGGCCCTGGTCTGGGAGGATCCCACGTGCCGCGGAGCGGCTGGGCCAGTGAGCCACAATTACTGAGCCTGCGCGTCTGGAGCCTGTGCTCCGCAGAGAACAAGAGAGGCAGCGATGAAGAGTGGCCCCCGCTTGCCACAACTAGAGAAAGCCCTCGCACAGAAACGAAGACCCAACACAGCCATAAATAAATAAATAAATTTTAAAAAAAAAATTAAAAAAAAAAAAAAGTAGTGAGAAGGACATCCTTGTCTTGTTCCTGATCTCAGAGGGAATGCTTTCAGCTTTTCACCATTGAGTATGATGTTAGCTGTGGGTTTGTC